GTGTGTGTGTGTGTGTATCTATGTATGTATTACTATATATATATAATATATATATACATTATATTATATTATATTATATATATATATATATACATATCTGCGATGCCACGCATGTGCTCTATAAACGTGTTCTTATTTTCATGATGTGAGGTGTTCTCTGGGTCCATGTCTATCTTGAGTAAGATTACTGCAATTCGATCTATGTGCATTGAGTGCGTGATTATATTCCTTATTTCTTATTCATAGTGCATGGATTCAACCGCACATATATGATAATACCAACGTGCTCACTGAGCTAGTAGCATACGTCCATCAAAACTTTTTTTCTGACAATCTCACTTCATCAATCCAGCGGTAGGTTTGTAATCGAAAGCCTCATATGCGCATTCCTATGTAGCGTGTTGTCCTGTGTTGTTTAATTCTTCATCAGCGAATGGTTTCGAGTTGTCTCAATAAAAAGCGTTACTTGATAAATGTTCCTTGTTGCACCGCTTTTGAACCGCGCCGTTGTGGTAGAGGTACTATCTCACAACTCTAAAACCCCTAGCTTAATTATATATAAATGTTCATAAGAATAAACTAGTTGTAGTCATACGGGGTACTTTAGGAGCCCGGCTTCAATTCGGTATATGTATACATGTATACGATACTTTGTTTCATAAACCCGTTTTTCCATACCTTTGATTTCCCCATTTTAATTCCTGGTCAATTGTACACTACTGCACAGTACCCGGTGATTGACCATACATTCGATGCGGTAGTCGTGGGTGCTGGTGGCGCTGGACTCCGCGCGGCCTTTGGATTGGCTGAGCACGGACTGAAGACTGCGTGTATATCGAAGCTTTTCCCCACGCGATCACACACTGTTGCTGCTCAAGGTATGTTACTATATATATATATATAGTCGTACACTCAGGATGAAGCATACGCAGTGAGCATGTATATCGTAAACCTTAGAATGCTACAAAATGTCTCAAATAGGTTTTAGACAACACCATACTTGACACATTATCACATCATGTACGCAAACCTTAGAATGTCCACCGTACTATATATATATATATATATACGTGTGTGTGTGTGACCTTTATCTTACCCTTTGCTGCCTTTAACCTGTTGCGTCTAACCTTGCATGGTGAGACCATCATGTCTTGTTATGTTGCAATAAGGGTTGCTAGTATTCACACACTAAAGTATATGGGTTTAAAATATTGTATAGTTATTAGTCATATCCGTAACAGAGAAGAAGTTCGGTTTAAGGCTTGCTTCGTCACAACGTTAACGCTGTATGCCTTTTCTTTTTGAACGCTTCCAATGTTGTACGCGCGATTGGAAGCGATGCTTGTGTATGGCGTAGCCATAATTTCTGACGTTTATGATGTAGCACCAGCGTTTATATACGGATATGTTTAGTATATTTGTATAGCTCACGTGCGTACATTTGTTTTGTTTTGATAACAGGTGGAATTAATGCTGCGCTTGGCAACATGGGCAAAGATGATTGGCGCTGGCACTTTTACGATACCGTAAAGGGTTCTGATTGGCTGGGTGACCAGGTAAGTCTAAATACATCTAGTCGCAGACATTATGGATTAAAATCGGCGGTGCATGTATTTACACGTTGACCTTGTGCGAATGCTGGTACGTCCATACATAGTGTAGGATTGCAGAATGTTCAGAGTGATTGATCTGCTACCGCGTATGTCCACACCCATCATGGCTCTGAATGTATATTATCGTACATTGTCAGTGCATATATATATATATATATAAAGAGTATAGACTAACATAGCTACCTCACACTTTCATCAGGACGCCATCCACTACATGACCCGTGAGGCGCCTCAGGCCGTGCGTGAGCTGGAGCATTATGGATGCCCCTTCTCACGTACCGAAAGTGGTCATATCTACCAGCGCCCATTCGGTGGGCAGAGTTTGGAGTACGGCAAGGGAGGACAGGTACTATTTGGGTTCTATTTATTTACGGTCCTATATTGGCTTAAAATACGCTGGTTTTGGGGGGGGAAGGTGTTGGTGTTGAAGATCGGATTACATCACGGGAGCATTCGTATGTTGCTTGTGTAGTTGTACTTGTATAGCTTGTACTGCTTTGGTATCTGTTTGGGGTGCTTATGTATAGGCCCGTGGTGCCATTCTATATCCATATACGTTCTCGCTCTCGTACTATAATTTAAAATCAGAATAAGTGGAAATGGCACAAATAACGTTGTGTACATACACCCTTGTGATCATGGTTGCTATTATTCGCACCACCCCCTTTCGGTATCGGATTCTCTAGCTTGACAGAGAGTGACCTGGTATGTCTGTTGTAGTATCTCCATCCGTGTAACTGAATATGATACCAGAGCACTTTCGTTAATTTTTATGCAAGTTAAGCACGCAGAAAAGACGTGCTGCTGTTGCGGTAGGAACGTATATATGTTCTGTGTGTTCATCGATGCTACTTATATATATATATGTATTGTTGGACGCACCTCAGGCTTCTGTTGTGCACTATAACGCACAAACACTCTATTCCCCGCCCACACACTCGCACCCACCTACCAACAATCAAATACTAAACCCCAGTGAACTATTCACCAATACTTATTCTTTCATCAATCTCTGTGATCTCTTACTCCCTCTCTCTCTCAGGCCCAGCGCTGCTGCGCCGTCGCAGATCGTACCGGTCACGCCATCCTGCACACGCTCTACGGTCAATCTCTGCGTCATGACACCAACTACTTCATCGAGTACTTTGCTCTGGATCTGATTATGGAGGACGGGGAGTGCCGCGGTGTCATTGCGCTGAACATGGAGGATGGGTCTATCCACCGCTTCCGATCGCATCACACTGTGTTGGCCACTGGTGGTTATGGACGGGCGTACTTCTCCTGTACCTCTGCTCACACGTGCACTGGTGACGGTAACGCTATGGTATGTGTGCATGCTTAACATGTGTACTCGTGTGAGTTTGTTTGGACTGGATATAGTGTCCGTATGTGTACATAGATGGATGTGTGCTCGTGCGTGTTTTTTCGGGCTGCATAAATATATAAGCACTGTCGCTATATTGTGTGTGCACATGTGTGTGTATACACTGTTGTTCGTCTATTCCCATGGGATATAATTGGCGGCTTTGAGACCCATGCGAGTCATTTTATTGCATGTCCTCTGTCCGCGGCTGATATCAATCCGTGTTTTGTTATGCTTTTCAAGCATTGTCGGGTGTGTAGTATGTATAGCGCGTGTTGGGTCGTGAGCTGTTGTTGAATCGGCTATCGGCGGTATGTGTGTCCCCTATCGAGCATGTTGTTTGTGGTTTTTCCTACTTAATTTTTATTATCATTTCTTTATGTCAAGGTTCTAGTATAGCCTTCCAATCTCGGTTGGCTTTACCTCACTTTGAACACACACGTCGACCCAGAGTCTCTTCTGATCTCATCATCCTCTCTTTGCGGCGATCTCTCCTCCTTCTACCTACCACTCATATTTTATTTACCTTTCTTCTACCTACCACTCATGTCTAATTTACCTTCCTTCTACACACCCTGCTTCCCCAACCCTTCCCCTTCCCATAGGCTGCTCGGGCCGGTATTCCCCTGCAAGATCTGGAGTTTGTGCAGTTCCACCCCACGGGTATCTACGGCGCCGGCTGTCTGATCACCGAAGGCTCGCGTGGTGAGGGAGGCTACCTGGTCAACTCAGAGGGTGAACGTTTCATGGAGCGATACGCCCCCACCGCCAAGGACTTGGCCTCGCGTGATGTGGTGTCACGTGCCAGTACGGTAGAGATCCGAGAAGGTAGAGGTGTAGGGCCGGAGAAGGACCACGTGTACCTACAGCTGTCGCATCTGCCCCCAGAAATCCTGGCTGAGCGTCTGCCCGGTATCAGTGAGACGGCCGCTATCTTTGCGGGTGTGGATGTGACCAAGGAGCCCATCCCTGTGCTGCCCACTGTGCACTACAACATGGGTGGCGTGCCCACGAACTTCAAGGGCCAGGTATTTAGCATGAAGATGGAGTGTTCTGCTGTGGAATAAGGATCTGGCACATCCGAAGTGTTTTTGTGTGGATACGGTTGTAACGTCTTTCAAGAGCGTCTGGTATCGAACCCCAAGGGCCAGACACGTGTTCCTGTGGATTCATATATATATATATATGTACTACGTGTGCATGTGTATGTGTGGATACTTTGGTATGGGCTGTACTCTCGTGCGCTTTTCGGCGCTGCTGGTGAGGGGACTGTACGGCTAGCTGGTATTATGCTTTAGCTGTGGCTGAGAGGTTCCCGTGTTTTTTAACCATGTTGACGGGTTCCTGTATTGTTTTTTGATCATGTGATGGAAGGTGTCCTATGTCGTCACCTCTGTCTGCTATTCGTATGGTTGTTGACCTTGTGTCGGTTTCAAGGTCTACTACACCTGCTCATATATTCATTCCTCTTTTCCCAGCAAAGCATCGCGTTTGTACATGCACTGTACACGGATGATCCTGCAATGTACTCACACGATACACCCATCTCCCAATAGGTCATCGACCACCGCAACGGTCAGGACAAGGTCGTGAAGGGTCTGTGGAGTGCTGGTGAGAACGCTGCCGTGTCTGTGCATGGAGCCAACCGATTGGGTGCGAACTCTCTGCTGGATCTGGTTGTCTTCGGACGTGCGTGCGCCAACTTCATCGCTGAAGAGCAACAGCCCAACCAGCCCCACAAGGATTTGCCCGCGGTACGTTTTTAAGTCATCGTATGACATATATATTTAGTATATGCCTGAGTTTTATTCCCCTCGATTTGCATGGGTGTTCACTCTCGCATGGACTCCTTCTCTCTGATTATCTTGTACCTGTCGTATTGTCGGCGATGGCATGTGCGTGTACGGTCTCGGACCATCTCTGTGTGATGGTGAAAGGAGTTTGGGCCGCCCCTCAGATATCTTTGTCAGCGCTATAGCAATGCGTTTAGAAACGGGATATATATCCGTCTGCCTAGTACTCCTCTCCTATCCCCCGGTGTATCATGCTTATCCCTCCCATTCCGTTCCGTATCTGATCCCTTTGTGCCCCTACGGTCATTACTCACTCACATTGTGTATTTATATTTCATTTCATACCCTTTCTACTTCGTTTACATGCATATTCCTTCTCCTCGCCTGCCACCACAACTCATTAGCATGTCGGTGAAACTTTCATCGATACCCCGGGCAAGCTCAGGCCGGCACAAGTCTTAGCATAGCCCTTGCTCAGCTTTAACTTGTATCGCTCCTAACCCCACCAGAATGCCAGCTATCCATATTTATTCATCGCAAACCTAAACAATATTCCTGCCACAACTGTACTTCCGTGTGATGTAATCTCACCTCCATCCCTTCTCTCTCCCCCCCCCCCACACACACACCAGAATGCTGGCGAGGCCTCCATCGCCAACCTAGACAAGATGCGATACGCTAACGGTGACTTGTCAGTCGCGTCTGTGCGCTTGGACATGCAGAAGATCATGCAGAAAGACGCGGCTGTGTTCCGAACCGGCGAGACGCTGAGGGAGGGTGTGGTCAAGATTGACGGCGCTGTGCACAAGCTGGATGATCTGAAGGGTGTGTGTTTGTGTTATGTACAGGCAGCTGCTGACAGTTGATTGTGGAGAAATGTAGTCGCTTATGTTTAGATATGTTGGTAGATCAGTCCGTCTCTGATACATATTACTCATATGTGCATGAATCCTATACATGCGCGGTTTTGTTGCCATGACGAAAGCCGCCTCTTGGTCTGTGCAATGCTTGCATTTTTATTTATTTTCAAGTGTTCATCTGGACATGCTTTACGCGGGTGTCGTCCAGGTATTTCTGTTGGCCTGTTCGTTTTACCAGCTTATATTCCCTTTTACTAGCTTTTTAGGGTTTAGGGGTTTACCAGCTTGTTTTTCTTGTTATCCCGGTGGTTATAGCTCCACAATCTCTTGGGCTATGAATGTATATACTTGTCCTCACATACACTGGAGGTAGCATATACTACCGCATCATACACATATCTTCAGAACTTATAACCTCCTCCTTCTTCCGTGCCACCCACCAGTCCAGCCCTTGTTTCTAACCCCACCCTCACCCACTTCTCTTTCTCTCTATTGCCACACAGTCTCTGACCGGGGAATGATCTGGAACACCGACCTGGTGGAAGGACTTGAGTTGCAGAATTTGATGATCAACGCACAGCAGACCATGCACTCTGCCCAGGCCCGCGAGGAGAGTCGTGGCGCCCACTCGCGTGAGGATTTCCCAGCACGAGGTGGGTGGGTGGATAGGGTTAAATTTGATAAGTATGGAGTTGCTTTGCATAGTGTGTGGATAGGGTTTGATATGTGTGGTGCTACTTTGTATAGGGTTTGATAAGTGTGGCGTTACTCTGCATAATACGCTGGCATGTATTAATAAAAGCATGCGTATGCTTCGAGTGTGGTGCTGCTTTGCATAATATACTGGCATGTCGTGAGGATAGGGTTTGATAAGTGTGGTGCTACTTTGCATAATAGTTTGACATGTCGTGATAAGAGCATGCGTGTACTTCAAGTGTGCATATACTGGCATCGGTTTACTTTCACCAAGTGTGAATGTGCTGACAACGTTATTTGTTTTCTACAGAGACCCGAATGTGCATTTGTTTAGTGATGTTCAGTTATGAACAATCCATTTCCTTGTTTGTTTGTTTGTTTGTTCAACAACCCAGAACCTCCTTGTCTATTCTCACCCAACTCTTCTCATCTCGGCGTTACTTCTAATCGCAGAGGATGAAATCGATTACACCAAGCCAGTTGAGGGTCAGAAGCCCAAGCCAATGAAGGATCACTGGCGCAAGCACTCTCTGTCATATCTTACCGATGACGTATGTATCTGTTCATTTCCTATTGGAGTCTTGTTTGCCTGCGCTTGCACTATCTGAACAGAGTATCGGAGGGGTTGGCTGTTGACATGGTCTCAATGTGTGTATGGAGTGTCTTGTTTTAGTCCCGAGTGTTGGGTGGTGTGCTTGGACCTCGTGATTGCCGGCAATCGACCGCCGATTTATTGTTTTATTGTATAAGAGTGCATGAGCAGTAAACAAGATTCATGATCAAACCGTATTCGTATTGAATATTTTGTTGGATGAAGATGTGTGTTTATAATTTGTAATAGAGAAATTTGTCTGCTGAAAACATTGGATCATTACCCTATTCGAAAGTTGTTGACTTTTGTTGGGTGAAGATGCGTGTGTATAATTTAGGTAGCAATTATAGTAGAGAAATTTGTCTGCTGAAAACCTTGTATCATTGCCCTATTCGAACGTTGATACGTAGAATTTGGGATGCTTCATAGCTTTTTATGCAACAGAACCACGATACGATTGTAAAATCCCAATGTATGATCTATCTAGCCCCAAAGTTCTTAGCATTCCAGATACCATCCACACATTATACTCAATGCTACACATTCCAATTCTCCGATCACCAGCACGGTTGCAAACTCGACTATCGACGGGTAATTGACACCACTTTGGACGAGAAGGAGGTAGCCTGGGTACCCCCCGTGATCCGTGTGTATTAAATAGATATCGATGTGCAATATAGAGATGTTTGGAAGGTGCTGCGTGTGCGGTATAGCAGCGGCGACGACGCTTGGTCATCCAGAGGCTGATGCCATTCGTGAGCACAGGCTTAATTGTGCGTGCATGCGGACGATATGCGGCCCAGAAGTTTGAGTTGCCAGATATGGAATTCGAAATAAAGATTTGTGGAGTCTGATAAGAGTTGTGTGGAAGAACCATCTGTCTGAGTTGAAATGGACGGCTTGTATTAGGGTTTAGATATAGAGTTGTGTGGGAGAACCATTCGTCGGAGTTGAAATGGACGGCTTGTACAGGTCGATGAATTCTTTTGTTTTGTTTTTTTTGGTCTTTGCGCAACATCACATCGTCCCAATGCGTTATCAAACTGAATAAACCAATCTACAGGGTATTAATAGACCTATCTACAGGATATTGATAAACCTATCTACAGGATTTGGTGAGGGAAATGATTGGGCACTCATGCGTAGTGCAAGTTTACTGACTCAAGACGTATGTCGCACTACAGTTGAAAAGGCGTATGTCGCACTACAGTTGAAAAGGACTGCAGCCAGCTGTTTCTTAATGTGTTGGGCTGAATAGCATGGTGGGTGTCTATGACGGGAGGACATACTATATATTGTACATATAAAAACCAACATAGCGCACAATAGTGTGGCTAGTAAGGGAATCGTATCACTATAAACCACTGATGTTGGATGGATTTGGCATTCTTTCAGCGACGGTAGTGTTTCAAATGATCCATGATCATGCAGAAGGATTATTGCTAGATGCATGTTCGCATCAGTCCCGTTCTCACGCTTAACAATTGAACGAATTTTCTAACGCCTTCGAGCTTTCTTGACAAGCGAGTCTCAATTTTAATTTACTATATTCAAGTATTTA